ACTACGACGACTACTACTACTACTACTACTACTACTACTGCTACTACTACTACTACTACTACTACTACTACTACTACTACTACTACTACGACTACTACTACTACTACTACTACTACTACTACTAGTACTTTTAGTATTCCTACAATTCTTATTCTTACCATTCTCATATACGTATTCGTCTTGACTACGTTCAAATGTGTGTGTGTGTGTGTGTGTGTGTTTTGGCTATGTTGCATTTTTCCTGTGAAATCCGCCTGTGGGAGGACGTGCCCGACCCAACTCCAGCAGAGGAGCACCCCGTGGCTCTGCCGGCTCTCTCAGCCGTCGGCCTCGGCGGCCCCGCGCATGAACCTGTGCTGCAGCAGCGCGGAGGCCAGCGGCCTCTTGCTCTTGTCCCTCTGCGTGCACTGGACGATGAAGTCCTGGCAGCCCTCCGAGAGCGAGTCCGGGAAGCCCGGCGTCTCCTCGGTCATGGCAATCTTCCTCATCGCGGCGACCTGGTTGTCGAACGGGCCCCACGGGGCCCTGGCCGTGGCCATCTCGATGATCACGCAGCCGAAGCTCCAGATGTCGCTCCTTCGGCCGATGCCGCTCTGCATGATGACCTCGGGCGCCATCCAAGGCACGGATCCCTTGCAGGTCCGCGCCATGGTGTCCTGTGTCCGCTTCGAACAGCCGAAATCTGCGAGCTTGATGAGACCGTCCACGCCGAGGAGTATGTTCGCTCCCTTGATGTCCCGGTGCAGCACAACGGGCTCACAGGTGTGCAGGTACTCTAGCCCCGCCAGCAGCCCGCGCCCCCTCGAGGCGATGAGGCTCTCGTCGAAGGCGCCGAACTGCGAGAGGACGTGCGCAACCGAGCCCCCGGGCATGTACTCCAGGTAGATGTACAGCCTGGAGTTAATCTCGTCGTGGCCAAGGTACGACACGATGTTTGGATGCTTGAGATCCCTCAGCATATTGATCTCGTTCTGGAGCTCGCTCTTGAACCTCTGCTCCTCCGTCAGGTGCGGGTCGATCCGCACCTCCTTCACAGCGAAGATCTGCCCGCTGCGCTGGTCCAGCGCCTTGAACACGGTGCCGAGCGTGCCCTGCCCGACCTCCTCGCCTGGAACCCAGGAGATGCAGGAGCCCTTGACGGCGCCGGCCGCGTCAAGCTGCGTGCCGCTGAGCCCCTGGAACGTGTCTGCCCTGAAGGTGTGCGAGGACCCGCCAGCGGCGAAGGCCGCCACCGACAAGGACGTGAGGCCGTTCGGGCCCCGCACGCACGACACCTGGGAGTGGCCGGGGCCGACTACCCCCGGAGGCTGCAGAGAGAGGCTGCTGTCGGAGTCCCACTGGTCCACCACGGGGGGGCCCCAGGCCGCGGCGGAGGCCGGCTCCTGCGCCGGCGCCGGGCGGTCCGCCGCGGAGCCGCGCGCCCGGGCGGACAGCGGCCGCGGCTGCCCCGCCCCGGGGCCCTCGGGCGAGCTCAGCGGGGCGCAGGCGGAGCCGCCCGCGGAGGCGGCGGCTGCCGCCAGCTCCACGCTGGCGAGGCTGGCGAGGCTTGCCGCGGAGGCGGCGCTTGGCGCTCTTGGAGCTCCCGTGCTGGCGGTGGAGCTCTTGGAGCCGCCCGCCCTAGCGGCGGCCGCCACCGCATGCTCCTCCTGGGCGCCCTCGGCGCCCGCGGCGCGGTCGCCCGTCGAGGGCGGCCTGCCGCGCGCGCCGCCGCTGCTGGGCGACGTCCTGGCACAGTCTATTGTCCTGCGACCCTTGGACCCATGCCGCGCCTGGCGATCCTCCGGGTACCCCGCGCCGCGGCTCGCACCGCGCGGCGGCGTGGCCGGCGCTTGGGCGGGCGCGCGGGGCAGGCCGCGGGGCTTCGTCGGCGACGCGGAGCCACCGGCGGGGCGGCCGGGCGGGCGGGGTGGCGAGGTGGGCCCGCCGGACTGCAGCTGCCCCGGCAGGTCGTGCGGGCTGCCGGGTCCTCGCTCGTGCGGCGTGCCGCTGCGGCTCGGGGATGGAGCCGCAGCCTGCTGCAGGGCAGCACCTGGGGCATGCGGCGGCCTCCGGGGGCACACCGCGGAGGGGCTGCTCGGGTCGAGCACGGGCGGCGGCGGCCCGGTGTCGCGCGAGCCCTTGCGCTTGTGCTCCCCGCGTCCGCCCAGGGCGCTCCCGCGGCTCTTCCTGGGGCCGCAGAGGCCGAACCCGGCGTCGCCGCGGGAGCACGGCGCGCTCGAGGGGCCGTCGGGATCCTCCTGGCAGGCCTTTCGCGTCGGCCTGTTCCGGCCAGAGGAGCTGGCCGCCCTTCTGGCGCCAGGGTCGGAGCACCGGGACTCTATGCGGCGCTCGAGCCCGGCGAAGGGCTCCGAATGCTCGGGGCTTATGGCCGGCAGCCGGCGCGGCAGGCTCCCACCGTCACCGCTCCGGACGCTGGAGGGGCGCCGCAGGGGCGTCGAGGGCCCTTCCCGGGAGGGAGTCCCCTCCCTGGTGGACGGGCGCCGTCGCAGCGAGGCGGGCGAGAACGGAGACGCCGCCGCGACCTGCTCGGACGCCAAGAAGTGCTCCGCGTCCCTGCGGATCGCCGAGGGCGAGGAGGCGGCAGCCCGACGTCCCCAGGAGTGGTCGCGGGGCACGGGGAGGGGCGACTCCATGGCGCGGCGGCGGGCGGCCGCATCTCTGACCCGCGCTGTTCCCGCCAGCGGGGGGGGGGGCCGCCCGAGGCCCCCCCTTGAGCCAGAGTGAGCGACGATCGACAACTTGTCTTACGCGAGATGACATAGCGACCTTGAGGGGTGACTTACGCGGCCGCCAGCGCGGCACACCACATTTGAAGCGAGGGCGCTTACGCGCGACCTTACGCGGGCAGCTTACGCGCTAATGTCGGCGCAGACGACCCCAGTTTGTTGCGTCGCCCAATGGCTACGGCCATCTTGGAGGTCATTTTCTTGGCTGCATGAATGGCTGGACCTTCTGTCTGCACGTCCCACGGACCAGGGCTGGAATTTCTGTACCTGGCCCTCTGACTTGGGTCAGGGGGGTGAATGGAGCTTCTGTCCATCAACGTCTGTATTTCTGCGCAAGCAAAGCTCGAATTTCTTCACTTGGCCTTCCCACTGGGCTGCATGCGCGAGTGAGATGCAACACTTGTCAGCAAAGTGACAGCGAACAAAGTCACTACGACAGGGAAAAAAGAACTTGGATTCAATATCGATCCTATGATGCCGCCTGCACCACGGCCCACGGTCATGAACTCTGTTGCCCATGTATTCATAATAGCCTTTTGGCTCGTCGGCACGATCTTCGAAGAGGCAGCAAGCCCAAATGCTCGGATGAGTCCTGATAGAATGAGCACCAACACCAAGCCCGTGCTCAATATGGACACATTGGCAGAAATTGCATCAAGGTTGAAGTTAAATAGTAACGCGCAACAAGCACATGCAATCATACTCGACACAAGCAAGGCCTTTCGATCGCTCCGTATCAGGTGCTTGGTAAATATGCCCATGAAGAGGTTGATCAGGCCCGAGCATAGCATCAACACAGAAAGGAACATCGCACTAGTCGCAAGCGTCCAGCCCCAATAATTCTGGCCTACATTCACCGCGTACACCTCCACGCATGTGATGAATAGTGACGAGACGCACAAGTACCAGAGGCAAGCACAACAAGCAACAGCAGGGACTGGTTCCAGGACTGTGCTATCCGCATGGTTGCTTTGGGCAGCTTGTGGGGACGTTACTTTCATAGGAACGTCTTCAAATAAGACTATCACTTTCACCATGAACAGCAGGTAGAGGATGGCCATGAACCATCCTGGCGCTGTATCAGCATCCAGTACTAGATTGTTGATACGGAAAGATGCTACAAACACGTCCAGCATGGCAGCGAGAGCAGGCCCCAGCGCGTATCCCAAGGTGTTCAAAGCAGAAAAATAAAGAATAATTTCGCTTCGTCGTTTCATGCCGACGGTGAGGCCGATGTACAGCGAGGGAAGGTTGAAGCCGTTGCAGAAGCCGACCAGGCACCGCGCTGCAAATAATGTCCATTTGAAGTGCATGAGCCCTGCCAAGCTGTAAAGGACGTTGCCCAACACCGAGCCGACTGCCAAGAGGAGAAGCACTGACTTAAGCGACATCCAGCGCATAAGCCAGATCTGGTTCACGTAGATGCCGAGGCCCGCGAAGAGCGGAAGGGCTCCGATGATGAGGCCGCTGAAGAGCTCGCCTCCACCGAGACGGCGAGCGTAGTCATCCGCAGTTGGAATCACGACCACGAGGTTGACTCCCGTTAGCAGTGTCGAATACAACACCAACGCCAACGACCCCGTAGGTGGCATCCGCTCTGCATCCAAAACCACCGCGCCGCACTCCCGCGAACGCCCGCTTCTGCACCTGCTCGCTGCGCCGGCCTCGCGGTGCCCGCCCGTCGAGGCAGCATCATGCGCCTGGTCAGAGTCCGCGGCCGCCGCTCCGATCTCCACGGGGGGGGGGCGCAGTGGCGCCCATAGAGCGAGGCTGAATGAGGCCTGACTGTGCTTAAGCCTGCTCGTGCTCCGAGGCCCGCCGGAAAAGCTTGAGCCAAAATGGCTACGGACCATCTTGGAAGTCATCTTGGGCTCTCTAAGGCCCTCTTGGAGCCGTCTTGGACCATCTAAGATGCTCTGACCGCTCGCGGGGCGCCCCGTCCAGGTCCAAGGGAGGGGGTAAGGCGGTAGGGGGTGGGGTCAAGACACCCTCCTAGATAGCAAGCAGTCTAGCTCACTCCCATCCGCTCTCCCGACACACAAGTAAAACCCGAGCCTCAGCATGTTCAGCGGTCGTCTTTGGATGGGGAACTAATGGGAACCAAAACTGAACCCGTATGCGCGACGCTGGGGCGAGGTGCGCCACGCGTGCCAGGCGCGCCACGCGCGCCAGGCACCCCTGGGGCCCGAGCGTGCCATGCACACCTGGTGCGCCAAATGCGCCACGTGCCTCCGCATGCGCCAGGTGTGCCGCATACTCCAACCGCGCCAGGCGCGCCACGTTTGTGGCACGTGCAGAGTGTGTCAAGTGCGCCTGCGCACGTGACAGCACACATCGGGAAACATGTCGGCCCCCACCACCATCCTTGTCGAAAACCAATGCTGCCATTGTGTCTGATGGGCCTGCGCACAGCAGGCCAAACGCCACCACCTCCGCCGTCCCAGTCAAAACCACTTGACAATTATCGCGGGGTGGCCGCGCATGATCCAGATGTAGCCACGAGGTGCATTTTGTATGGTTTTTTTTTGGTTTGTCATGGATGGTCGCCCTGCGCGCAGCAGGCAAAATGCTGACATCCCCGCCGTCCCTGTCAAAAACAATCCAGTGTTCGCGGGCACCACGAACATGACTCCTGACTTTGCCCCACATTCCCCAACGAGTGTTTGCACTTAGGGTCTTACTTGGCTTAACCATCTCGGGGTGACTTGCGGCTTTTGCGGGCGGTTCCGCCCGTCGCCGATGTCGCCGTCGCCGACGCCGTCGCCGCCGCTCGGGGCGAGCGACGGTTTTTGCGGGCGGTGCCGCCCGTCGCCGCCGTCGTCGCCGTCGCCGTCGCCGCCGCTCGGGGCGAGCGGCGGTTTTTGCGGGCGGTGCCGCCCGTCGCCGCCGTCGCATAGATTCTCGTTTCAAAAAGAAAAAAATCGATTCGACCCCACGGGCTTATCGGTCCCCTTGCTCGTAATGCAATTTGATCACGATTTTGCCGCATCGTCCATCCAAAATATGAATCCCCACCATCCCAGCCCAACCAGTATCGACCCCATGTCATCCTCTGCAACAAAAACTATGCGCGCACACCCGTTCATCAAGAGTCATCAGTTTCCAAGAATACCTAGCAACAAAACACGATGAGCGTCGTCGCGCACGCATGCCGAAATCGTTCAAACAACCCTTCGGTGTTGTACGGCTTCCTCCGCCGAGTCTCCAACAACATACTCAAAACACAAGGTTTTGCAACAACAGTTTTCAAAAAAACAACTTGCGCTCGCGCTCTTGCGAATTTTTGAGAAAACCTTTGGTGTTTCAACATGTTCGCAACATGCTACCAAACGGGGATTCGCGCGCGCGCGCGTTCGAACGCCTTTGCGCGCGTGCTGTTGCAAGGGCCGTCTGCAACACATGGGACGAAGTGCGCACGCGCGCGTCGTCGCGCGCGCGTGCCGCCATCCGTCAAAAACCACGGGTTTCGTAGAGGTGTCGAAACAGAGTGTCGCGAAACCCTGTAGAAAAAAAAACATGGATTTGCAACATCAGTTTTCAAAACAATTTGCCCTCGCGCTGTAGCAGAATCCTTGAGACAACCATGGTGTTTTTTTTCAACATGTCCATGGGATTCTGCCACACGGGCCTCTCGCGCCGCATGCTGAAATCATCCGAACGCCCTTGCGTGCGTGCTGGGGGGGGGGGGGGCACGATCTGTGTCAGAAAATTCCATGGGGGCCACTCTCGCGCGTCAGCCGCGCGCGCATGCCGAACTCCTTCCAAAACTTTCATCACCGACGCGAGGACGCTGTCATCGTCGTCGGCGTGATCAGCATTGGCCCCCGCACTGGCCACTCTTTCGTCGGTGCGAACATCGTCACCAACATCGCTACTACCATCATCGTGCCTACCGCTGTCGGCGTTGCCATGATACCGCGCCCACCCAAATCGCCGACTCTCAGTGAAGTGACCGCTGGGATGCGCCCAGCGGGCAGCGCCACCGCGGCCGCGTCGGTGGCATCAAACTAGATGGCCGCTGCGCGTGCGTGCTTGGGTTGGCGCGGCCGCAGACATGCACCAGCCAACGCCAAGCATGCATCGCAACCGCCACCGCATGGGTTTTGCAAACCAAGTTGCGGGTGGGTGGACGGGATATTTGCAAGAGCATGGGATGTGTCAGCTCGTTTGCTAAAGTCTGGCATCAAATGGATTCTCCGCTCGAAGAGAATAAGCTCCACCACCCTCCCGGGGCCGGACTTATCGGTACTTCCTGGGGATGTGCAATTTGCATATGACCCCCCATCCTAACAATGAGCTCGTACCATCCCAGCCGAGCCGGTATCGCCCCCCCCATCTTTTGCACAAGCTCTATTCGCGCGCACTCATTTACCAAACAACTATCACATGAAAAGATCGCGCGCGCGCATGCCATAATCCTTCAAGAACCACCGGTTTCGAAAGGGAGTTAAAATCGAGTCCCGAAAACATAAAACACATGGTTTCGCAACACGGGTTTTCAAAACAGCTTGCGCGCGCTCTTGCGACTTCTTAAGACAACCATGCGTTTTTCGACATTGTAATAACATGTTACTAAACGGGGCTTCGTGCACGCGCATGTCGAAATCTTTTGAACGCCCTTGCGCGCGCGCTGTTTCAAACATCCTTTGCAACAGGTGTGGCGGAGTGCGCGCGCGCATGCCGAAATCTGTCAACAACTATGGGCGTCGTAAGGATTTCAAAACCGAGTGTCGCAAACCATTTTTTATAACACAAAAAACATGGCTTCGTTTTCAAAAAAGCCTGCGCTCGCGCTTTGGCTACATAATTCGTAAGAAGAACATCGATTCTCAACATTGTCACGGCATTCTGCCACACGGGCCTCTCGCTCCACACGCTGAAATCATCCGAGCGCCCTCGCAAGTGTGCTGGTGGGGGGGGGGAGCGCGATCCGTGTCAGAAGATTCCATGGGGGCCACTCTCGCGCGTCGGCCGCGCGCGCATGTCGAATTTCTTCCAATACCTTCATCACCGACGCGAAGACGCCGTCATCGTCGTCGGCGTGATCAATATCGGCACCGTCGCTGGCCGTGCCGTCGTCGTTGTCATCATCGTCGCTAGCATCGCTACTACCATCGTCGTGTCTACAGTTGTCGACGCTGCACAGGTACCACGTTTGCGTCGGTCGCGCCAAACAAGCTGGTCGCTGCGCGCGCGCTTGGGTTGGCGCGGTCGCAGAGATGCACCAGCCAACAGCCAACACCAAGCACTCATCGCAATCGCCTCCGCATGGGTTTTGCAAACCAAGTTGCGGGTGGATGGGTGGGATGATTGCGCGAGCAGTGGAGCCGACAACTTCTAGTTCGGCAGGGTGGATGTGTTCTTTTCAAAAAACCCACCACCCTACCCCCCCGGACTTAAAGGTCTCCCTTTTCGTATCGCGATTTGCATACGATTCTGCCCCATCGTCCATCCCGAAAATGAATTTACAGTAGCCCAGGGGGGCTGGTATCGCCCCACCACCATCCTCGGCAATAATAAAATGCGCGCACAGTCATTTATCACAAATCATACGTTGTCAATAATCCCGTGCAAACAATGGGACGAAACGCGCACGCGCGCGCCGTCGCGTGCGCATGCCGAAATCCATCAAAAACCTTCGCTTCCGGAAGGGTTTCAAAATTGAGTTTCCGAACAAACAAACAGAAATACAGGATTTCGCAACACTGATTGTCTAAAAAAGCTTACGCGCGAGCTCTTGCGAAATCTTCAGAAAACTATTTGTTCTTCAAGATTTTCAAAAAATGCTACCAAATGGGCTCCGCGCGCGCATGTCGAAATGGTTCGAACGCCCTTGCGCAGGTGCCGTCGCGAGAATCCTCTACAACAAATTGACGAAGTGCGCGCGCGCGTCGTCGCGCACGCATGCCGAAATCCTTCAACAACCTTCGGTTTCGGAAGGATTTCAAAATCGAGTGTCCAAACACAAACAAAAACACATGGTTTCGCAACGCGGATTTTTACCAAAAGCGTGCGCGTGCGTTCTTGCGTCGTCGTCGTCGTCGCCGTCCTCCCTCCTCCCTCGTCGTCGTCGTCGTCGTCGTCGTCGTCGCTGTCGTCGTCCTCTGTCTTTCCTCGTCGTCGTCGTCGTCCTCTTTGGCGTCGTCGTCGTTTCCGTCGTCGTTGTCGGCGTGGTCGTCCTTCCTCCTCCCTCGTCGTCGTCGTCGTCGTCGTCGTCGTCGTCGTCGTCGTCGGCGTCTCGTCGTCGTCCCTCCTATTTCGTCGCCGTCGTCGTCGTCGTCGTCGCCGTCGTCGTCCTCCCTCCTCCCTCCTTCTTGTCGTCCTCAGCGTCGCCGTCTTCCCTCCTTCCTCGTACTTGTCGTCGTTGTCGCCATCGTCGTCCTCCCTCCTCCCTCGTCGTCGTCGTCTTCGCTGGCGACGTCGTCGTTGTGGACGTGTTCGCCATCGTCGTCGTCGTCGTCGTCGTCTTCGCCGTCGTCGTCGTCGTCGGCGTCGTCGTCGTCATCATCGTCGTCGGCGTCGTCGTCGTCGTTGTCGTCGTCGTCGACGTCGTCGTCGTCGTCGTCGTCGTCGTCGTCGTCGTCGGCGCCGTCATCGTCGTCGTCGTCGTCGGCGTCGGCGTCGTCGTCGTCGTCGTCGGTGTCGTCGTCGTCGTCGTCGTCGGTGTCGTCGTCGTCGTCGTCGAAGTCGTCGGAGTCGTCGTCGGTGTCGTCGTAGTCGCCGTCGGCGTCGTCGTCGTCGTCGCTGTCGTCGTCGGCGTCGGTGTCGTTGCCAAGTGCCATTAGGTACCTACCTTCACGGTCTTAAGAGGTCTTGCGACCAAGTTGCGGGTGGGAGGGTGGGGTGTTTGCACGAGCAATAGAGAGG